AAAAGAAACTGTCTACAGTATTCATAAATTGGCAGCCATGAGATCTCAATCACTTCATTAAGTCTATTACTTTATACAAACAAAGCTTGAAAATAAATTACCCGAGCGAGTTGTTTAAAACCTTCTTACACAGCATGAGAGGAGTTACAAAGAAATATCTAGAAAAAGTAAGCTCATCTAAGCATAACGGTTTTATAAATGAGCAATGGATTATGTGGGGCAGGACCGGTTAAATAAAATGAGATTTCGAATATACAATCTTATATGTGATGTCCCAGTCCTAGTTACGAGAGTAAGTCCTCCTACCAGGTACCTTAACATTTAAGAATTTAACATACATGAATGAGATGAACTCAACCATCAAAATGAAAGGAAACAAAAACTATAGACACGTATGGGATTCCATGAGTGGTGGAAATACACGAAGCAAGAAATACATCTTCGAACGGAAGACAATAGTCATCAGCACATGGTATAAAAGAAAATCGGGACATTTCTCATACTAAAGACAATGAAACGAGGTGAACAACAAACGACAAAAAACACAAACAATATAGGCCAAAAACATATAATGAACAAAAAACGAAATAAAACGGGGTGGAAAGGCAGAGTATCTGTACGGCCAGTACGTTGCTTGTAGAATCCCGTAAAAGGTAGTTTCTTTATCCTAGCCTCTAGGACAAGGTGAATTACAGCGATAAATGCATCGTCAACTGGAAAACGAAGTATCGTCGTTGGTAAGGTCGTAGGTATTCACGCAAATAAATTTCCAGGGTCTAGTGATTTTCTGATATAGTTGGTTCCTTAAAGAGTTTATGTTAATTATGGTGGTATGGGTGGGTTTCAGTGCTTTATGTATTCTATAAGTTTGATGAAGTTCAAGAATATTCAGCTAGTGACAACACTGGAGCAAAGTCACTAGGAGTAGGGACGGACCGGGTGTGAAGCATTCACAATCGAGGAGACAGAGAGGAGATACCAGACTACAGGGACAGGCGTTGGCAGAGAGAGGATACGCGTGAGGGAAAAGAAGCGGATGAGCAAGTGAATGATGGGAGTCTACGAGTGAGAGGATGGGATCGATAATGAGGGCGCATAAAATCTAATAGGCTTATTTTTTGCCGACAAAAATCAACCAAACTAATATCATAAGCAATCGACAGGCGTTAACTATAGACGATTACCAGGTGTGAATAACGTTTGACAAATTTATGCTGGGGATTATTGCTAAAAATCCCACATTTTTACTGACCTGATGTTTATAGATCAAGTGATTAAATGGGAAAGGGAAATTAAGAGAGTGAAAAGACGGGTAACTGGTTATCAGTCGACGCCTACGCTGTTCTCCAGAGTCAACTCCAAGCACCCTTTCGCCTGAATATGTGGTTGGGATCATTAGTGCCGTGTCCATTGGACTCTACTTTCTGTTAGCAAAGTTTCACAGTTACTAGTACTCAAGTTTCTAAGCAATCGAATTACCGATGATGGTGGAAGGCACACCAATAGCCATACATCAATTCAAGCGGATCATGCGTAATAAAGTTACTGTGCATTATGCTTAAGTATTTGAGCTCATTTAAATTCTAGGTGTGGTAGCAGATAAATTAGAAGATGTGGCACCATAACGCGCGTAGCTTGTCATAAATCCGCAAAATAATGAGACTGAAACTACTGTACCTCCAAGTCCATTGTATTCAAACTGAGCCATACGAACCAAAATTCATTGTATTCAAATTGCGCCATACGAACCAAAATTCCAGCCTGTAACAAACCTCTCGAAGATAATTAATGGAACTTCTGGTTTCTTCAAATTTTGTATACATACAATGTTCTTTTATAAAGCGACAGAGAGCTCCAGATGTAAGCTATTCGAATATAATGAGATTTATAATTGTTCTTTTTCCTCTTTTTTTTTCCATGATTTTCCCCCAATTTTTTTAAAATTACAATTAAAAAATTAACGACTCATAAAATCATCTACGGTTTTATCATTAGGATAGTAACAAATATTCTATTGTTTCTCTGCGTGTTCTCTTATCTTCGCTTTTGTCGTTTCGGTTCTCTAGTCAAACTGCCATGTGAAGAAGTTACAATACCCAATTCTTAGAAATTTAGCTTAAGCATTAATTTAGAAGTCAAACAACAAAAATCAGCGTAATATTTTTCAAATTTTCGCAGGACTAGTGTTTCGATAGTTTTACCGAACCATCATACTCAGCTGCAAAAGCTCAAATGAACGAGATAAGATATAATGATTAGCTAAGGTAAGCTACTGGCGCCATCTGTTGATGAAACCAGAACTAAAACATAATTTCTTTAAAGGCTGAAGGCAAAGATGGATTGGAATTAGGTCGTTAACTAGAACAGAAAAATTTTTTTTAACGTGAAATGCATCTAGAAAATACAGTTCATTAATGGAAGATGTTTTTTGAATAATTTTGGTAGCAGAAAAATTTAAAGTGGGATTTTCGGACCAACAATGTTGGGCAACAGAAAACTTCTGTGTTTCCTTTTTTCTAACATATGCCTCATGTTCCTTAACGCTTAATTTCAAGGCTGTCTTAGTTTGGCCAACGTAAATTAAGCCACATTGGCAAGGAATCCTGTAAATACCCCAGGCATTCATATCCGGAATGGAGTCCTTGAGTATGGAACTCGGAATTTTATTGATGAGAGGATATCTTATCTTATCTTATCTAATCATTATATCTTATCTCGTTCATTTGCGCTTTTGCGACTGAGGATGGTGGTTCAGTAAAACCATGGAAAACCATAATCTTGTGAAAATTTGAAAAAAATATTACGCTGATTTTTGTTGTTTGACTTCTAAATTAATATTTGTTCGGCGTGTTATTGTATCTTAATTATAACAACAGTAACTAACTGTAAACATAATGATATCTTGCATTGCACGTAAGTGAAATTCATTAGAAAAATAGTTATTGTTAGTATTTGTCAAGAATATAGTTTATTAAAGTCTATACATAGAACATGCAGAAAATTCTGGATTCCGAAATTTCTGCTTATGGGAAGAGTTTGTGTGCGAGGAAAAACATCTGAAAGGCCTAGCATAAGGACAGTTAAAGAAACATTGGTGAAATATTCATTCGAAGAAAAATAACCCATTCAAAGAAGATGCTGTCTTCTGGATTTCTTCCGAAAGCAAATGAATTTACCAATCTGAAGAGAATATCTTGTGCCCATGCAATATAATTCCTTATGCAGTATGATGACCGATTGGACACACAGTTCTTAGAAGCACTAAGAAACAGAGTAATATCATAAAGAAAAAATTGTCGAAGAATGAAAGTATGTTTCAATATATATGATGTTTAGAAACCAATAAAATGCTTGAAAAGATATCTGTCGTCAAAGGAGATGAAAATCATTTTTTTTTTTTTTTTTTTTTTTTTTCATTCAAGTCGACGAAACTGTGCAGTTTTATATGATGATGCAAACACAGTGTTAAAGTTTTGAATTTAAAAACCTGCACTGACGAAAACAAAATGAAATAAATAAAATATCAGTGATGGTAAATCAAAATTCCTTCACGCACCAACTTGAATGCCATACATTCCTAAGGAGTAGAAAACTTTACAAAGTTAAACTGCTTAAAATTCTTATACTTTTTAAACCAATCCTAAAATATTCTTTAACTCTGAATTATTTGAAGAAGTGTTATGAAAGTCAAATGCAGAACTTTTGACCAAAATGCGAAGGATTTTACTGTAGAGGATGTTTTGTAAGTCTGGAGATACAGGGCAGATTAATTTTGTGTTCTTTACTAACATACTAAGTAAACAGACAAACTAACAGACAGATAATTCCTGTGGATGGGATTTAAAACATTCAGGTGAAGTCTCATGCGGTACCTTAAATTCCTGTAAGATTGTTTCTTAAAATAGTAGACCGGCTAGCTGCTTAATTGCTTACTTTGCAGGTATTAAATTGAAGTCTGAGTTTTTTTTTAATTCGTGACTTCTATACTTTCATAATTTTTAATGTCTTCGTAACTTTTTGAAACTTTAATCTGCACTTTTTGAAATGCATGAGAAATGTTCTTCTGCCTGTAGAAGTTTAGAAACTGCAGAAATTATATTTTATGCTTTCGGTGTGTAACTGAAAGTTCATTTAACTGCATTCCGGAATCCGTAATTCATATCCCTGCGAGGGGTGGCTTACTTCTCGCATTTTCCGACATTGAAAAAATATAAGTCTGTACAAGTACCACCAGAGCTAAAATATTGTGTGCGATATTTCGTCACCACCTGGATTTGGCGACTTTAAGTGGGGGAGAATATAAGGAATTTCCCCTTTTCCCTGTGTTCTAGTATCTCATTTTCCATTGCATGATGTAATTGGTAGCACGTTGGTCTAGTAATCGGAAAATCCAGAGTTCGAATCTCAGTGAGGACATAGCAGATTTTTCTGATAAATTACCTAATGTCTCAATAACAGGCGTCCGAAATAAAATGTGGTAAAAAAAAATTTTTTTTTTTAATTCTTCTGTCATCTGTCTCTTTAAAGTTAAGTTTATGTTATGGAAAAAAGGTATTGTAAGTTATTATTTCGATTTTTCCTTTTGTTCTTTTCGTAACACAACTATGCCTTTAACTAATATATACTCCTTATACATATTCACTGCACTCCTTATTCACTGCTCTAATAAGTGGATATTCATTATTGTGTTCACCCACAAAACTGTGAATATTTTATAAAATAATGTGCAGTATTGTATTTTAAGATATAATTTTGTAATATTTTTAAGCTCAAAAACTGGAATTATACTATTTTTCATTGAAAATAGAACAGCATAATTCTGGAAAGCGTATGTACATATTTGCGCACAAAGTAGAGAGATCTGCTTAAAACAATGCTTACTAGATGGCGCTAACAGAAATCGACTTTCAATCGACAACCGCTTAAGTCAAAATGAGTTATAAATAGTTCAGCAGTGTTATAGGCCATCATGCAATGGAACAAAGTGGTTATTCGCTATAGTGAGCAACCCCATCAAACTGCTATTGCCCAATGTATATGAGTGAGCAAAAAAATGCCAAGAGAATCCATGATGTCAAGAAAGCTTTAAATTTACACTGGTGTACGCATTTCATATTGCAGGTAAGCTATTATACATAATTATCTCGCATTCGATTTCAATAATAATTGTATAAATTGTTTACGTTTCATTGATAGAAACATTTCCTCAAATAGAATCTTCTTCGGTTCCTTTTTCTAATTATGGTTATGTTCAATTTTGTGACGCAAATATACTAAAATAGCATATTTAGGTTTGAATCGATAACTCGTTTAGGTTATAAATTATTAAAAGGAAAAAAATGTAATATTTTGACAATTCGATACTTAAATAAAAATTATCTCACGCTCTCAATATAGTCTATTTTGAAAATTTTATAATAAATAAATATAACGACCTCTATATCAACGGAATTGAAAAAAATTATTCGTCAAGATTAATAGACAGTTAAGTAATAAAGATTAAAATTATGCTAAATCAATTTAATATTCAAAATTAAATGAAACTTTGTTTCAAATTTTTACACTCATTATTTCTAATAATTTAAATGTGATAATTTAAATCACATATTTCTTAATAAATTTATTTTAACAAAAATCGCGCTATATCAGAATGTAATGTAAAACGAAAAACATTACCTGAATTTTGTACTAAAGCTATTTAAAAAACAAATTAGTCCTTCTTTAAAACTGGGACTGGGATTCTTTATCAATAATACTCTCAAGGCGTTTGATGTTCAGAGTAATTTTATTAAAGTTTACTTTTGAAGTTTAACTGACGAGCAGTATTTCAAATAGTTTGTTTCTACGGGTAAGCAGAAAAGACTAAAAAATGTTAATAATACATTAAAAATCCTGGAAACTGTAAAATAAACGTACAATAAAAAACAAGTATAATTCAACCTTCACTTAAAAGTTGTTTTGCTTTTTTCATCAAAAGCTGAATTAAGAAACTGTAATATTAACTTGTTTCAGAAGCATATAGAAATCCATGTCAGATTGTGTTTCGTAAATTCACAAACTATTACCTGAGCTTTAAGTGTTTATATATAGTAAAACAAAACTGAAGATAAATCTGTTCAACAGTTCAATAATAATGCAAGCAACTTTTTGTTCAGAATAATATTCGCAATGCTACGTTTGTAGTAAATTAATGTTAAACGTAATATTTGTAGATGCATATTTAAGGACTTTAGAATATTAGAGCAAGTAATCGGCTTTTTAAATTACTCATAATTACCTGTTTACTATAGAATTATATATATATATATATAGTACATATATAACATAAATATATGTAAATTCTAGCTTAAATTTGCAATAGTCCTTTTACTCTCTATTTTAATTTGCTTATTTCCTCGTTCTGCCCTAAAAGTAGTAACTGCTTATAATAAATCGCTCTAAACTGCACCATTTTTAAGTTAATCCATGCCATATGATTTTTGCTCAATGGTGCAAAACCAAGCACAAAACTAATCACAGCAACAGCCGATTGCGTTTGTCTCTTACATAATGCCTCAGCCAATACAGTTTCAAATTTGGGAATCGAAACTTAAAATGAACCAATGTGTACAAATCTGAATTCATACTAAATCATCTGGAATCGGATGTCTAGCTTAAACTGGAATGATATCTACAAGTTATTCTCAACGGCGCGTCGAGAGTGATATTTCCTAAAATTTTCATTTTCGGTATATTTGATTGGTTAACATCTTAAATTTACTTTTAAGTTCAGTTAGGTATTTACAGTACTAAAAAAAAAGTAAATAAATAACAAAATTCTGAAAGCTTTCAGATTTTATATTACAACCAAAAGGACCTTTTTTTTAACGTTCTGTGTGATAACTTTATTTATTAAATATCATGTTCTTCTCGCTTAAACCATAAAATTCAATTCAACAGCAATATCAGAGAATAATTTAAAAACAGCATACCTTTAGAATGCCGATACCCAGTCTCGTGCGCTGGAGGTAAAAATGTTTTCCCCCCGTACAGTGTTGCCATTGCTCGCTTTGAAATCGTTGAGTTTGTTAATCAACAGTTCGTTACAGTTTTACGAAATATAAAATATAGATAATAAAACAAATTGTAAATTCCAAATTTCGGATGCAGGACTGCGTTATTCAAAACTTGACGCCTCTAGGTGTCATTGCTTACTCACAGTGCGAAAAACATACATTCATGCAGATTATTCGTTATTTAATTTCTTTAAATATAACGCTGGTCTCTAATATTTAATGGCACCAATTTGAAAAGTATAACGCCGTTTATATTGAACCAATGCAAAATACCAAAACAAAATTAATAGCCCTTCTTCGCGAGTTGCCCCCATGGGCTAAAGAAAGTGCAGAAGTTTGCACTCACGGCGCAAATAAAATATCGAATTCCGATAAATAACATTCTAACTACCTAAATATTTGGAGATAAACTCCCACTTGATTGTCACTTTATTTAACTATCAAGTAAAGTAAACTGAACTAAAATAATGTTTGTCAAAATATTACTTTTCAAGTAGACTATCGATTCCTCTCGACGAGGAAATATCAACACTTAAATTCATCGTGTAAGGTCAAGAAATAGTTAAAATACTGAAGTAACTGCTAAACTCAATCCTGTTTATCAATCAATCAATCATATTTTTAATCGAAAAAATATATAAAAGCTAAACATTTACCATAATTAATAACAAAAATTTCATTGCAGGAACCTTTCTCTTTTACTAAAGCGAGAAGAACGCCTTCGAAATATCATGCTTTGTTTTTCATCAGTGATTTCGTGAAGCATCCGCTTGTCGAGATTCTTGCTTTTTCTACTGTTGCCAAAGGAATACAATAGTTTGAAAGTATATATTTAGTGCCTAGCCGATATCTGATCCAATTTAATCCATTAATTCATTCCAATTAATGGAGGAAGGATGATGTTTTGTTGTTATTATTGTTTCGCTTGATGAGACTTGTTTTGTTCTTTAGATCTCTTGAGAGAAATTTTGTGAACTACTAGCGAATGGATCTCTCATTAATTGTTCCTGCAACGAATGTTTTTTATGGTAACCGCTTTAGAATTTCCCTGTTTGAACTCTTAAATGATAGCAGCTTTAGATGGCTAGATTCGATTAACTTAAAGTCCACAGAATTCTATATTTAATGCTTGATAACTGCGTAAATCCCAGTATTCCTATCTTCCGCAACCAGTAAACTTTTACCTCACTCAATGGCTATTCATTTGCAACAAGCCAATATATATCGAAAATGGGAGCACCACGATATTTTTATTCTCTTGTAATCAAGAATTTTATGATGGCTAAAATAATTATCGTGTATATTTTAGTGTATTTAGCTTACATTGTGCAACTTACAAAGTTTTGCCATACATTTTATTTTGTGCCTGTTAATTTACAGAATGAGGAAAAGTAATAAAGAAATAAAATGTCCACCATTGAAATTAGAAAACTCGCCCCCTCTCCGGGGGTTGACGTAGAGAACTCTGCGACGCTACCGGCTAGGATCTGTACCTAGGCAGTCTCGGCCACGGGGGCATAAAATTTATGAACTTGGTGGTTCTGAAGGCCCCGGAAAGTCACTCATTGCCGGCCCGATGGTCTGGCACCTCCTTGGGCGACGTGGCACTAGTAGCCCGGGAGCTAGCGTCCCCGGGGTACGCTGGTTAATGTCCCACTGCGACGGGCAGCCCGAGCGACTGATAGGTAGCAAATAACGACCAGTGCTGCCTGAGAATGACCCGTGTGGTGCGCTAACCTCTCTGAGGGGCCAAAGCGGAGGTTGAACCTCCGCATCTGGTTCTGAGGAGTGGGTGGACCTGTAGTACGGACCATTATGGCTAACGTGAAGCAGGGCATGCCAATATGTTGTCGTTGTTGTTATTCTACCTAATTAGTATATCAATTAAGTATGTACGCATGATGTATATTATATAAAGGTCTTGCATCTATCCGATGGCTTAAAATTACACTGAGTTCATTTAAATTTCTGTTTGCTTTGGAAAGCCGAACTCAACATTGGTTCAAATCGTGAGTCTCTTGCCGCCAATGAATGTATAATTATACATATCTAATAGATATTCTGATTTTAAGATCTAACGTCGTTAGTAACTCCAAGCTAGTTTAAAAAAGAAAGGAATGATTTTTGAACATCTTTTAAAATTCGGTAAATACACCGTAAAAAATTAAGGACGAAGTTGAAAAATTAGCTTATCAGTGGAATGAAGAAGCAAAGAGGACTGAAAGACTAATCAGGAGATCGACCAAGTACATTAGCACATGCGCATATATGCAGCTAAACGTATTAGAGGAGTGTCGGAGGGGTATACAGATCCCTGGAGGAGTGAGCTCTGCATTTGGAGGAAGCTATGTCACGGCATATATCAGTTTGATTGACGTCAAGTTGCTACATGATTGTTAAATGTCGAACAACATATCTGTTATACGACATCTGGAGGCTTTTATCCAAGATCAAATCATTGTAAAGACTGAGTAAGGCAAAGTATCAGAAGTATGGCTGTAGAGTTCGAAATTGCTCACAGCATTGTTTCACGACTTTGGAGACAATTTCAAACTACAGGAACATCTGCCTTATGGTTCAGCAGTTATCGTCCACGAACAACCACAGCAAGAGACGACCGGTATATTGCCTTATAGGCAAGAAGGAACAGTAACTAAACAGCGGGAGAAATCTTAAGACACGTGGAACAGGAGATTGGATGACCGATATTGTGTTTTACCTTGGCTAGGTGGCTGCACAGTGGTGGTCTGTTTGCATGACGACCTGTATGATGTATACTATTAACGCCTGCTCATCGAAGAATGAGATTTCTGTAGTGCAGGGAACACTAGAATTGGATAAATAATTAATGAGGTCGAGTACTCTTTACGGATAAGAGAAGATTTAGTCTGAGTTGCGATTCTAGACGCATACACATCTGGAGAGAGCGAGGAATACACAATAACTCCTTCAACATCATCAAAAGGGACCGGTATGAAAGTCGCAGAGATCTCGTTTAGGGAGACACAATGCTTGGTAGCCGTACGAACCTTCACATCTTCCAAAGAAGTTCAGTTACCTGCGACT